TGATGATTGATGATGAAGATGATGATGATGGAGATGGTGATGATGATAATGATATGAATGATGATAATGAATGATGATGACGACGATGACGATGACGAATGACGATGACGATGACGACGATGATGACATCAATTACAATAACACAAAAAGTAACGATGATGACAAACAACAAAGCAACAACAACCACATTACTGATGATAATAATTACGCCAGACGAGCCTCTTTCCTCAGCTCAGAGACTCGTCGGTGAGAGCCTACGCGTAAAATGACCAGAAGGTGATCGTTCCCCCGCCCCGAACACGCTAACGGCCCAATATCCAATTATCTGCTCAATCAATTTCTGTCCTCGTATTTATGATCTGATTAACTGGCATTCTTCTTCCTCTCTTCTCTATATCTTTCTTCATTTTTTTTTTCTTTTCTCCTTGATCTCAATCTCGCTCTCTCTCTGCTCTCTCTCGTCTCTCGGTCGCTTTCTTTCACTCTCTGCTCTCCCAGTCCTTCTTATCTCTATTCTCTCTCTCTCTCTCTCTCTCTCTCTCTCTTTTCTCTCTCTGTTGCGCTCTCGCTCTCTCTCTCTGTCTCTCTTCTTGCTCTTTGCTCTCACTCTCGGCTCTCTCTCTCTGCTCTCTTCCTTTCTCGTTGCTCTCACTCTCGCTCTCTCTTCCTCTCCCCTCCGGCTTTTTCTTCGTTTTCTCGCCTCGCTCTTTCTTTTTCTCCTGCTTTACTTCCTTCGGTGCTTTTTCGACTGCATCTTCATCAATTTTGTTTTCTTTCTCTCCTCTCTCCTCCTCCTCTCTCCTCCTTTCTCTTCGCGGGGCGGCGCCCACCCGCCCTCTCCGCCGCCACGCCGCCACGCGCAACACACCATCCCACCTCCCGCACCTCTCTCATCACTACCCTCTCGCTCTCTCGCCTCTCGCCACTCCTCTCCTCCGCTCCTCTTGTCTCGCTCGCTCTCTTCCGCTATACCCCACCGCTCCACCGCCCCCCCCCCCCCCCCACCCCCCCCCCCCCCCCACGAGAGTGTAAAGTGAACCCCCCCTGACACTCCCTCTCTCACCATTCATTATTACTCTCATCTCCCACACCTAAGAGTTCAGTTACAATCCGAAAACACACACTCCCGCTGCCCACCACCCCCCCGCCCCACCCACCCTCCCACACCCTCCGGAAATTCATATCCTCCCACAATCTCTTCTTCCACTACTCTCTTACCTCTACCTTCCTCCACCGTCACCTCTCTACCATCGCCCTCGCTCCCTCTATTTCTAACAATCTCGCATCTCAGTATTAATAGTATCCACCACACACCCCACTCCGCCCCACACCCCCGGCCTCCATCCCTACACTCCCCCATTCTATTGCCCCCTCCACTCTACTTCCCCCCTCCATCTCACTCTCACCCACCACACCACCACCTCACCCTCCCTCCCATCCCCCTCACTCACCCCCCCCACCATTTATCATAATCATTTACAAATATTTAATTCCGATCCACCATTATCAATCATCGTTCGTCATCATCATCACCATCACCACATCATCATCTAATCACATCATCCGATCACCATCATCATGCATCATGCATCATCAATCATCATCATCATCATCATCATCACATCATCATCATCATCATCATCATCATCATCATCATCTCATCATCCTTTTGTCATCCTTCCCCTTTTTCCTCCCTGCAAGGACGTACGCCTCCTTATATCACCTTAACGCCCTTTTCCCCTTCAATCTCATTCCATTTTTCACCCCAACCCCCCAACCCCCATGACCCTCCTCCCCCTCTACCCTCTACCCTTCCTATCCTTCGCACACCCTCTTACCCTCCTCCTTCGGCCTCACCTTCGGAAGGACGGCGCCCTTTTCAGCCGGTCTCTGTCGTCCATGAGGTTCATCATTCTCTTCATCTCCTCCATGGTCCTGCACGCCCTCTTCAGGGAGTCCGTGAACTCCTCCTTCGTCTTGGGTTTGGGGTCGCCAGCTGGAAAGGATAATGATGATATTTGTTTTATTATCTACTGAAAGATGGGTGATGGATAATAGAACGTTGGTAGATGGACTGATAGGTAGGTAGAGAAATAGGTAGATCGATAGGTTAGATTAGACAGGTGGGTGTTGATAAGTTAAAGATTCCGAAACAGAAAACGGGCATCGGCGGATGGAAAATTTAGTGATGGTCATCGATGACATCATTCTGACATCATTGAAGATCTCTTGACTTCATGAAGACCAAACCGATTAGTACTATACGGGGAACCCATTTTCAACCTTGTGTCTGTGTAATAAAGAATCCTTGTAAAGTGCTTCAATCATAGCTTTGGTGGTAGTGAATCCTATTTTGGTATCAAAATATGAATGAAGTTACTACGGGTATTGTGAGGTTAACGGTGTCATTATCTCTGCCATTATAACGGTTTCGAATCTAGCGGTAAACTGTCTCTAACTTTGGGGGAAATCATTAAGGCATGCGGATTGTCTGATTGATTAATTTTATCTATTTATTTATTTATTTCAATGCAATTAGTCACAAAGCATTTTATCTTAGTAATATTCGCGGCAAGCTAGGTGGCAATTTTAAAATGTTCTACCACCAGATGGTTTAGCGCCCAATCATATCTTTCTGTTAAAGAAACGGCTTGTGTGTGCTGTGGTGTGTGGTGTGTGTGTGTGTGTGTGTGTGTGTGTGTGTGTGTGTGTGTGTGTGTGTGTTGTGTGTGTGTGTGTGTGTGTGTGTGTGTGTGTTGTGTGTGTGTGTGTGTGTGTGTGTGTGTGTGTGTGTCGTGCGTGCGGCGGTGTCTCTTTATCATTGCCATAGAAATCCATGTTTTCATCGAATCACTCTCCTTACAGAAATAATCTTAAAAAGTAATAGCCACCTCATAGCTTGCTTTCAGAAAAATATCTATAAATAATTTGGAAATACGACAAAGAAATGGACATCACTGACACTCTAATAAAAGCTTATGGCGAAAGCTCCAATGGAGACTCCCGCTCACAAACGGACTGCTCGTTCCCTGTCCAAGCGGGAGGAAGTTAAAGACGACTATCGCGAAAGAAGGCCGTTAGTGTCACCCGCTGATGAAGACCTGGTTGAGCAGCCCCGTCGAATCGCAGTGGAGAGGATGGCATATTTCACATTTCAGAAGGTTCATAACATCAAAAAAAGACTACCACTCAACAAGCTTTCTATCCAGTGGGTCCCAGAACTCCTATTCACTTGTGCAAGCTTTGAACATGTGCTATATACGTTGGGAATAATGTATTGAAAGACTGACCCGTGAAACAAGGTTTCATTGATCTGACTCTGAAAACAAACAGTAACAGAACGGTGTCTTCCATGTGGTGTAAAATGACCAATAACAAAACAACATTAAAATCAAGATTCCGTACTCTATATCAAAGGTTCTGCCAACTTCTTTTTTGTTGACTGACAGGACATATCATTTGTATACAGTTCCAAGAAAATCACTTGGTGCCTTGACAGAGAAAAAAAAACAGAATCTCCGTAATCGTGTGATGGTCCATTAGAGCAGGACAACGACCCATTTGTCTGATCTAGCAAGAGAAATACTTCGTGAAGTTGGGGTACGCCTTTTAAATCAATAGTGATGTTAAAGATACTGTAAAGATGTAGATTAATTTTCACGACTCTGGTTTCTAACATATAGATAAACATACAACATAAAGAGATGGCCAGATAGACAAATGTAGATATAGAAGGACAGAGATAGATCTCGTAATCAACTCAAGAGACCGAATGACTTAGGTTTATAATAAAAAGAATATAAAATAGATATAGATACACCATAGAAAGATAAATAGATAACCAGACAAGCGTAGATATAGAAAGACAAAGAGATAGATCTCGTAAATTCAATTTACATCGGAATACTTACGTTTCTTATAGCTATAGATACAGCATAATAAGAGAGATGACCAGATAGACAAACGTAGATATAGATAGACAAAGTGATAGCTCTCGTAAATTCAAGATACATCGAAATACGTTTCTAACATACAGGTATAGATACGACATATAAAGATAGATATATGGCCAGATAGACAAACGTAGATATAGAAAGACAAAGAGATAACCAGATAGACAAACGTAGATATAGAAAGACAAAGACATGGATCTCGTAATCAACTCAAGAAGACCGAATAACTCACGTTTCTAACATATAGATAATTAGATACAGCATAGGAAGACAAAGCGATAACCAGATAGACAAACGTAGATATAGAAAGACAAAGAGACAGATCTCGTAATCAATTAAATTTACATCGAAATACTTACGTTTCTATATAGGTATAGATACAGCAAAAGATAGATGGCCAGATAGACAAACGTAGATATAGAAAACAAAAAGAGATAACCAGATAAACAAACATAGATAGAGATAGACAAAGAGATAGATCTCGTAATCAACTCAAGAGAAACCGAATAACACGTTTCTAACATATAGATATAGATACAGCATAAGATAGATGGCCAGATAGACAAACGTAGATATAGAAAGACAAAGAGATAACCAGATAGAACGTAGATATAGAGAAAGACAAAGGATAACCAGATAGACAAACATTAGAAGATAACAAAGAGATGAGATTATCGTAATTAATCAAGACCGGTTTAAATAGCTATAGATACCATAAGAATTGACCAGATATAGAAAGACAAAGAGATAACCAGATAGACAAACGTAGATATAGAAAGACAAAGAGATAACCAGATAGACAAACGTAGATATGGATAGACAAAGAGACAGATAATCAAAGATCCCTCGAAATACTCACGTAGTCTGGTGAGCGAGCTGTCCCTGCCGTCAATGCCCTCCCCAAGAACGAGCGGCGCGAGGTCTTTCACCTTCTTCATCTGTAGTTTCCAAAAAATGAAAAAAAATGTAAAAAAACGAATGACATTTAGCTCGTGTACAAAATTACAATTAGATCAGCTTATTCGCGCCAAAAAATGGAGATAAGGGGAGAGAGCGAGAGGGGAAAAGTGTCATGGCAACGTCCATAAATTACAGATTTGGAGTGGTTGAGAAGCGCTAGTAATCACGGGGGCATCGATCCCACTTCTTCCCTACCCCCTCTCTCTCTCTTTCCTTCTTTCTCTCCTTCTCCCTCTCCCTGTCCTTCTCCTCCTCCTCCTTTCATCCTCTCTCTCTTCTCCCTTCCCATTTCCCTTTCCTCTTTCCTGCCTCTCACTCCATAATCTCTCTCCCTCTTACCTTTCATCCATCTCTCCCCTCTTCCTCTCCTCCTTCTCCTTTTCCCCATCTCCCTTCTCCCTCACCTTCCTCCCTCTCTCATCTCTTCCTCTTCTTGCTCTCCCCTCCCTCCCCCTTACCGCCTCTTTTTCCCCTCTCCCCCTGGCCCCTCCTTTCTTCTTCCCTCTCCCCCCTTCCCCCTTACCCCTTCTCACCTCCGTGCCAAGAGATCCGATGAGGGAAAGTTTTCGAAGCGATGAATGAGACGATAATGTGTGACAATATCACAGCAGACTAGTCAGTGCAACGCTGGTGGTGTAATATGCTGCTTGAATAGGTTCAGTGGATCGACGATATAGTGAGTAGAGTGAGTTTCATGTTATTGCGTCGGATTTGATTTGATGAATATCATGGGTCATAAGGTGGCGGGGTGTATGAGCTTGTACAGTTAGGACAGTTAGACAGGCTGATGTCGGGTAGAATGGGGAGTAGCGCTGTGAGAATTTAGCCCTAACCTTAAAAAAAGTTCGGCTGGCTAACAGCCGTAAAGACTATGACCATTGAATCCTCAAGAGGAGGAGTATTACCCAACTTATGTCCTTGCGCTGATTAGAATATGTTAATATCAGTATTTTGTCTAGCTGTTCCTGACTTTTATCGGTAAGAATCTAATTTCATCCGTGGCGACTGATTCCAAACTGTGTAGATTGACGTTTTTTACAGGTTAGAGTCTTTTTCAATTAGATTTATTTTATGTAAAGTTGTTTAAAGTAGATGTGATTTTATGTGTTGTTTTGAAATTAATAGGAATTGCTGATTTTATGGTTAATGTTTTAAATAGATTTGGATTATTATGTGATTGTTTTTAATTAGATTGTGTATTTATGTGTAATGTTTTTAACTAGATGTGTAGAAATTTTATGTTGTTGTTATTAAAGATTTGTGATTTATATTTGGTTGTTATTTAATAGCGAATGTGGATGGTTTTATTTGACTTTTATGCTTGTGTCGTTTTCTAATAGAATTTTTGTGATATTCTATGTGTGGTAAAGAATTGTATAATTAGCAATTTAGATTTGGAGAATTTACCCTTATGTTGTTTAAGTAGGGTTAGTATGGTATTATTAGATTTATACCCACAAAGGCTTTTACTAGCGATTAAATTCAATGTAACTCGAGAATATATTGTTTCTATTATTGAAAGAGATAAAGTAAAAAAAAGTAATCAATTTTGGAATCGAGAAGGAATACGAAATTATTGAGAATTTAAAAAAGGAAACACGAAAATCGGGTGAAAATCCGCTCTTACAATGCGGACTTTGCCATGAAGATAATTGAAAAATTACCTATATAATTCAAATTATTATCATGTCACGTATTCAGAGCTGCTCACAGAACTATCTGAGAAATATGAAAAGTGCTAATAATTAACTGAAAAGATGGTATGAAAATGAGCTTAATGAACTGAGGATGAACGACAGGGATTTGAAGACTCTCGATTCAAGAAAGACAGAACTGCACGGATGACGCAGAGAGAAATAGAAGGCCGTGGAAGAATTTATCTCGATTTCGAGATTTCTTTTCTTTCTATCTATCGTACTCTCTCTCTCTCTGGGTTTCTCTTTCATCTCTCTCTACTCTATTCGGTCTCTCTCTCTCTCTCTCTGACTCTCGCATTCTTCGAGTCTCTCTCTACTCGGTCTTGAAGACTCGGTCTCTCTCTATTCTCTCTGCCCGTGCTCATATTCTCCTCTCCTCTTTCGATTCCACTATCGGACTTCTCTCTCCTCTTCACAAAACATCCGCTTCGCCTGAACACAAAGCTATTGACATGAGAAGCAGATCACTATTCAACCACTTTTTTCTTTCCCATAGTGCACTAAAGGGAGGTAATGAAAGAGCAAAAAAATCGATATATATATATACACGCACATAGTACTTGAATGCCTTATCAATGCACCTTCTGCTAGTATGACATAGTAAAGAGAGTTTGTCTTAATTTATTCTATAGGCCACAAACCATACATTTAGTATCACCGATATTTCACTACACAGTGAGTGAAGAATATGTGCGCGCATGATGTCTGCGACGTGAAAGCGAAAAAGGAGGCGAAGATGAAACTTATGTACGACAAACGTGGCTGACAAGGAAACAAGAGATACTGAAGTTTGTGGTATAAGGAGGGGTTGAGTACTTTTAGAATATATTGATGAGACATACATATTAGTAATATATGCCATACATTACATACAAATACACATAATGCTG